CAAAATTTCCAAAATTCACATATAAATAACTTTTCATTTATAAGACTCATTGTAAATGAAAAAAAAGTTTCTGCTAAAATTATTATTTTTTATATTATACATCACATAAATGAAAGTCAAGAAGCGTGTGCTACATAGGTTTCAAATATTTATCGTTATTTCATATTATTACAAACCAAAATTTACAATTATTTAATTTAATATCTTATTTGAGGTAAAAGGGAATCGTCAGAATATTTAAGCTCCACTAATTCAGACCAATCTATTTCTTCAAGTTCTTGTTCTGACTCAAGTGAAAGTAAATTTATACTATCATATTGGTCATTATATTCATCTTTTGGCAATTCCTATCATTAAAAATAAAAAATATTATTAAACGCGAGAATATATGACGTAGTACGTGAAGGATAATTAATGACTTACATGAGATTTAAATATTTCTTTATGATACTTAATCATTGCTGACTTATCATGATTAAGTAACGGGACACCTTCAGTGTAGCCCAATATTAAAAAACTGACTAGGAATAGATAAAGAAGGAATTTATGGGAGGTTTGGAAGCATAAGGGTGATGACATGTTTATTTTTTATAAAATAATGTGAGTTTCGAAAAATATCGAAACAAAAATTTTCTATTATAAGGAGAAAGTGCAATTTAGTGAGTGTCCAGGGAAAACTAACCTAAATTTGAGAGAAATGAACGTATTTATATTGATAATTATTGTTATGTTTTTTGAAATATTTGAATACAAAGAACACAAATTAAATTAGTACATGTAGATGCGTTTTTAAAAATAAGTAGCTCACGACGTACATGCATTTGTAATATGACCTACCTTATTTTTTTTTGTCCCATAAATGACAAGTGATCCTCTTATACGTACGTACGTACGTACTGTTAAGGCTTATTAAACTAAATCACTACTATCGGTATGTAATTTTTATTTTGAGATTATTCCTAATGTATACGTAAATAAATACTGTATAAACCTTTGCCAAATTTATATTGTATGCAAATTCAAAAAAAAAAAAAACT